GACTCAAGGTCTCCCACATCCCATAGGAATCACTTCTATCCCATTCTACATTAGAAAGCTTTGTAAGGAATTCAGCTCCAGGCTTTTCACCATTGGGTCACTTCCAGACCTTCCAAACTTGTTGCTCAAAAAATATTTCTTGTGCCTGGTACCGGTGGCTCAGACCTATAATCCTAGCTACTCAGGAGGCAGAGATCAGGAGGATCGCAGTTCGAAGCCAGCCCAGGCAAATAGTTCATGAGATCCTATCTTGAAAACACCCATCCCAAAAAAGGGCTGGCGGAATGACTCGAGGTGTCAAGATGTCAAATTATTAAAAAAAAATTTTTTTTTTGGCGGTACTGGGGTTTGAACTCAAGAGCCTCATCCTTGCTAGGCAGATGCTGTACCACTTGAGCTACTCTGTCAGCCCTTTTTATGGGGTTGGGTATTTTTTGAGATAGGTCTCGTGAACTACTTTCCCAGGCTGGCCTTGAATCGCAATCCTCCTGATCTCTGCCTCCTGAGTAGCTAGGATTACAGCTGTGAGCTACTGGTACCCAGCTCTTGAATAATTTTATGTGCCAGACATGGTGCTACACAAAGCATTCATTCATTCATTTTTTTAAATCAACAAAACATATTTGGTCTGTTTTCAAGCTTAGGGTGTATTAGATAAAACAGACCTGAACAAACATTAAGGTGGTAAATTGTGGGCTAGTGGAATGGCTCAAGTGGTAGAGTACCTGCCTAGCAAGTGCGAGGCCCCAAGGTCAAACCCCAGTACCACCACCACCAACAAAAAAAGGTGGCAAGTTGTGATAAAAAACCCAAAGGACAAGGAAACATTAACAGTGGTTACCTAATTACAAAAGGGGGTGGTAATAGTCAGAGAAGGTGTCTCTGAGGAAGTTAGATTTAAGTTAATATGTTGAGAATTACACAATAGCCAAAGAGGAAGATTAGAAGGGAAGGCAATGCAGGAAATGTGAAGGCCCTAGGCTGAATGTAATGAGAAAGTGGATTAGGTTGAAAGGCAGGGTTTTATCATGCAGGGCCTGTGAACCAGGAGTTTGAACTTTATTCTGAATACGAACTTTTGGAGAGAAGACATCGAAGTGTGTTTTTGATGCTGGGGTTTGAACCCAGGGCCTTGTGCATGCTAAACACACCATGAAGCTACACCCCCGTTCCTATTGAAAGGTTTTAAGGAGGGCAGTGCATTTTCCAAATTATGTTTTTATAGAGGTCACCTTCTGGCTGCTGTGCAGATTGGATGAAAAGGAAGCAAAAGCAGAAATGGAGGTATCACGGGGCTACTACAGTATATTGGAAAAAAATTGTATACTTTTGGAGCAGACCATTGGCTATTGAGCTAGAGTAAGTGAACTGACTTAAGATGTAATTTGGAAGAACTAATAGGACCTAGAGATGGTCTATTCTGGAAGTAAAGAAGGAGGTATCAAGAAAGTCTTTTAGTTTCCTGCTTGAGTAATTACAGGTATAGAGATAAATTTTACTGAAATGGAAATCACAGGAAGAGAGAAGGTTTTTTCAGAAAGATAACATTTTTAAAGAGGATAAAAGATAACATTTTTAAAGAGGATAAGTTTGAGATGTTTTTGATACAATGGTCTTTTAAGGAGTGGTCCATAAAATATGATGAATTATGATACTGGCAATCTCTATACTTACAGAGTAGCACTTGATATAATGCATTCACATATATTCTCCAACTTAAACCTTACAACAGGGCTGGTGGAGTGGCTCAAGTGTTTGAGTACCTGCCTAGCAGGTGTGAGGCCCTAAGTTCAAATCCCAATACTGCCAAAAAACCCTACAGCAACTATGAAATAGGCATGAATTAAGATCCTCAATTCATACACATAAACAGAGGCTCTGTAAAGTGTGGTATTATTTATTCAACTTTTACTGGGCACCATATTTCAGGCCGTGTTCAGGCCAGGAGTAGAATATAACGGTGGAAGACAAATGCTGTCTCAGGGATGATACAATCAAATTCTATCATGACAACTTTGCTCCCAGAAATACTTTCCCCTATCCTTAGCGCACAAGTCCCAGGATAAGAAAAGAGTTATCACACATAGCTTTGGGAGATAAAACAGGAAAAAACATTCATTAAAAAATCTGGCCTGACCATTAGAAATTATCAAAGTGGAGAGAAATTTATAGAAAAGAAGCTGAGATGAGGGATCCTACAGCGGTCTAAGTAGGCCCCATATCTCTAGAGCTTTGGGGTGAATAAAATCTGATGCTTTATAGAAAAGACCAAAATATGGCTTGTGCAACTGTGGACTGAAATGAATGAGGTCAGAGACCTGTTTAAATGACTTCAATATCATATGTCCCTACTCTTGTATGAAACAAGATGAAAGGACTCACACTGAGCACACTGTGACTCCCAGACTTTTAGCCTCTCATCTGTTCAAATAGTAATTTCCAAGCTACTGGAGCTGACCCCTACTAGGAGCCATGATGGTAGGCCCTACGGCTTCAATTTCATTAGAACACAGTGAATGTTGATGGCTCAGTGCTTTGGACAAAGGGCATGTGGGTCTGTAAAACTCTCCAATCCAATCCTGTTATCAAGGTGAGGCTTAGCTTGCTTGTGGCAGCTATGCCAGCATAAGGAAAAGTGACTTAAGAGTTTAAGACTCTTATTTTTCTTTCTCCAAAGAGTACTTTCTCCTTGGAGTCTCGAAGAAAAACCATTTGCTTCCCAGATTCCTTAGGCATTGACTTTCTTATCTTCAATATTCAATTCCAACCCTCTTCTCCAACTCTCCCAAAAAAAGGCATGTAGAGGGGTTAGGGGACTAGCTCAGTGATAGAGTGCCTGCCTAGCTTACACAAGGCCTTGGATTCGATTCCCAGCAGCAATTCCTTCCCTTCCCCCACAAAACATGGCATGTTGAGAAGCAAAGGGGAGGAAAATACATAGTCCTTCCAATTTCTTTCTTCTCTCTTTTTTTTGTTTGGTGGAACTGGGTTTGAACTCTGGCTTTGCACTTGTAAAGCAGGCACTCTACTACTTATGCCACAATTCCAGTTCATTTTTGCTCTGGTTATTTTGGAGATGGAGGTCTTAAGAACTATTTGCCTGGGCTGGCCTTGAACCTCGATCCTTCCAATCTGCCTCCCAACTAGCTAGGATTACAGGTGTGAGCCATCAGTGCCTGGATCCCAGTTTTCTTTAGCTAAGCAGGGGCTGCCTAGCCTTGGGCATTGTTTTGAGTGCTCAAAGACAGAGGTAAGAACCTTCGCCTTGGACACACAACTTATTGAAATACATGCAGAAACAACTAAAGAGAATGTGTCAGCTGGGCACTGGTAGCTCATGCCTATAATCCTAGGAGGCAGAGATGAGGAGGATCACAATTCGAAGCCAGATCTGGCAAATAGTTGGGGAGACCTATCTTGAAAATACTCAACACAAAAAGGGCTGGTGGGGTGGCTCAAGGGAAAGGTTCTGAGTTCTAGCCCAGTACCACAAAAAAAAAAAAGTGTCACTCAAAGAACTGTAACAACTGTTCTCCTCAACTGCACTGAACCCAGACCACTAGGTAAGTTAATTTGATCAATTCACAGGAACTGAGAAGCCAGCAAGGGGACAACTGCATCAAACTCTCACTCCAGACCCAGAGGCCTTGCCTGGAAGGAGACACCCAGATAATAAAATGTTACTCAACATTAGACAGGAACTCGTCTAAGAATGAGCACTCAAGCTAAACATCAAATCCTGCCTTCAAGGCATTGAGATTTATTGAAAAACTACATACATATTAAAAGAGCTTTATATACACGTTCTCCATTACAAGATTACAAATATACAAACATGAGTTCTGTCAAAGTCAGCATCTTAAGTATTAGAAAAAACTGTAGAAAATTCACACACTAATTTCATCACGTAAATTGGTGTTCCACACTAAAAATGGACACAACTCATCCAATTTCCCAAATCTAGCTTCTGATACAGAAACTACAGCGTTCACATGGAATGTTTCTCAGAAGCAGCACTGATGTTCAGTTCTGAGAGCGCAATCACAGACCAATTCTGAGAGCCTTGGGGCAGTCAAGGGAAAGTGGGGAGTGATGGCAGTTCTCTTTAACATTTTTATTAAACTCCATAGTGATCTTTCTCCAAATTAGTTAAGATGTTCTTTGACTTGTCAGAGTAAATATTTCACCCAGGAGATGGAATAGATAATGGTTATATTTCTTCTTGTTAGACTGAGAAGGTCCTTGAGCATAATGTTTTAAAATGAGAATTTAGTCCCAGGAAAGGTCTCTGCTCCACAGACTACCTATTAGAGTCAAACACTATATATATATATATCCCTTAAATCCAGGCTAACATCTGTCTGAATTGGATGCCAGTTCAGAAAAATGTTAGGACTAATTTAAAGATTTATTATAAAGTCTTCAATACAAAGACAGAAAAGATTGATTAGAATTTGAAGCTATCTTGGAATGAAGTATACAGAAAAATGAAAGAGGCAAGACTAATTCAATAGCCCATTTGTTAGTTCCTTGGTCTTCCATGTAAGGAGTCTCTCCTTCACTGAGTCCTGGTCACCATAGTATGGATCTTATAGGTGAAAAAGTCATTTTGGTATTGATGTTCATTGCTTCCTATGATTTTTTTCTAATGCCACACTTTCTTTCTCCTCCTCCAACTATCTCCATCATAAAGAGGTGTCAACTTAGAAAGCTGTTAGGAATAAATGTCAAATGTTAATGGAGGAAGTGAGATTTCATTTGAGTATTCCATAAGTCGATGTTGGAAGCACTGCAGAACTAATATTAGTGGCCAAACCAGGAAAAAACAGTAGCAAAGGAAAAAGATGTTCAGAGCCATATAGTACAAAGAACTGGAATCTCTGTTCATCATCTTAATGTACTGATTATAATGGACAGAGAGATCATCAGTGTGTTCCAACCTTCAGTGCCAGAAACTTTGCAAAGCAGTCTCAGCATTAATGCTGGCATCCTTGATGCTGTTAGCTTTCCAAGTATCTGAAAATGCTTCGCTTCAATCCTGAAGTGCTATCATCTGTTTTGAGGCACTTAGGAGAAGGGGATGTCATTAACGATGGACCCTTCCTCTTCACCTAGAGAGCAGAGAGAAATGTAAACTTTTCAGGTAAGTTTAACCTACAGAGGGGCAGCAACATCCTTCTATGTTATTAGGGAAGTTTAAGATTCTAACACTGTAGCAGTAAGCTGTTAGACCAGAATTTTTTTTTTTTTTTGGTACTCATGTTTGTTAGGCAGGCACTCTACCACTTGAGCCACTCTGCCAGGCCTAAACCAGAATTATTTGTTTTTTTGTTTTTAGAGACAAAGTCTTGCTATGTAGCCCAGGCTAGCATGGAACTTGTGATCCTCCTATCTCAGCCTTCCAAAGTGCTGGGATTACAGGTATGTGCCATCAGGCCTGGCTACTTTTTAATTCAAATAAATAAATTTTGCTTTGGGGAGGCACCACATCAGTTACCTAATTCCCTACCTGAGGCTTAGATGATTCCTTTGATACCTCAGACTTGACAGGAGAAAGCGTATGAAAGACAAAGTTTCTTGAATTTCGAGGAGCACTGGGGTTGAGGTCAGAGAGGGCAGCTAATTTCTGAAGCACAGCTTTGGGTTGGTTTAGCAGTGAGCCTGTCTTCAGCTGAGAAAAGAAGAGTCATCAGTATCAAATTCAAAGTGCCAAGAAAAGAATAAAAAGTCTACCTCTCTGTTCCTCCCCAGTTATTGAGGGGACATATTTCTACCCTATTAAAGTAGAAAAGAAATAGCAGGCTTCTTTGACATCTATTTACATTTCCTATGGTCATCTCCCTCTCCCAATGACAGACTATTCCCTTAGCTTGATCACAAGGTCAGACTAATAAAGTCCCAACTAACCTGATGAGCACTTCCTGGTCTGATGGCTTCAAATGGGTTACTGGATAGAGACTTTGATTCCTGAATAATCGCAGGACGATTGGCTGAAAAAAAAAAAAAGACCTGTTGTAGGCAAACCTGAGTAGAATTACTTTTACACCTAAAAAGACAAGAAACCTTGTAACTAAACCAATAAGTTAAAGCCATAGAAACCTCGTTTATTTTATAATGGTGACCTTGAAAATGACCCAAACAATGTATGCACATGTGAATAAATGAGTAATAATAATAAAAACTAATGGTGACCTTGAAACTACAGTTAAGTGTCTCTAAACAGACAGACAACTAAGTTGAACTTATCAATTAATTATTGATAGGAATACTTAAAGAAAAAAACAGGAGTTGCTAAGAGTGTAGAATAGTGTTTAAGAGATTCGTTTCTGGAGTTAAATATACCTGGGCTTAAATCCCAGCTCTAACATTAGGTATATAATTCCAGAATTCACTACTCTGAGCCTTAGAACATGAAGTGAAAAAAGCTACCTAAACTTACAAACACAACGTCTGCTGCCTAGGAGTCTAAGATCCAAGTACACTGCCTCCTGTGGGGCCTCTTTTAAGACAGTATTAGACACAAGCTTATGACTAAGCTGCAACAGCCCCTGAAGGTTAGAGTCACCTCCCAGGTTCCAAGCCACTAGAGCATGAGGAGAAACAAGAGCTTACCATTCTTCTGCAGTGCTTTGGCTGTAACTTTCTTGGCTAGCATCATAAACTGACTGCCTTCCCCAATTTCTTCTTCTTCAGCTGTAATTTTCCCCTGCTGTGCCTGAAAATAAAAATCATCATCAACCAAAATGTCTACAGCTTCCCTAAAATGTTAACATAACCTGAGTTGTGAAGTTAGGTTACTCGGATATCATGTTTTCCTTTTTGCAATCTTTGGCTGCTTTAGAGAGAAAAAAAATTGATTTTGGACAAACATTAAGAGAATTGCCCACAGTAACCTTCTCAATGCAAAAAAAAAAAAAAAAAGAAGAAGCAAACTCAAGGATTAAAACAGTTAGCAATGTTGCCTAAGATTCTGAAACTATCAAAACAAGCTAAGTGACTGTGTCCTTTCAGCTTCATAAGTGGGATCAGAATAGGCAGTTCTCTTGCAGACTTTCTACCTGGTCCCGCAGCCACTGCTCTCGTTCAATTCGCTCCTTCCTCCATCTGGCTTCTGTCTCATCAAGTTGTTCTTCAATCTGATCATCATCAGAGTATCTGTGGAACAAGTCCATCTGGGACGCATCATCTAAAGTGAAGAGTTAAGTACATCAACATTCTGCAATTCCCATAGGAGAGGGTGATCAGACAGACACAAAATAAACCCTTATCGGTTATTGTACACTGACAAAATAAACCTTTCCCATCTACTATAGAAAACAACGGTTACAGCTAGGTCCTTCACAGACTGTTTTAATTTTGATTGCCATTTGCTGTCTTGAAGAGGACAAGTATATAAATTAAAGGTATTTGCTTTTAAAGGCAGCAATCAAGATACCTATATTTTTCCATCGGAATTTCCTCATTCGCCCAGGACCATCACTGTGCAGATCCCCATCAGCAAGGTACCTCTCTTGGAATAAACGCAGTTGTCGCTTATCATCATCCAACATGGTTTTCCTACAATAGGAGAAAGAAAGTACTCAAAACCAGGACCATTCTAGCTGGCTATAGGGCTTGCCTTAAGATGTACCCTATTACTAGAATGGCTTATTAGGTTACGAACATGTGTATTTTCTTGACTTGACTCTGTAGTTCCTCATCAGAAGGAAGTACTTCATCAATTAGCTCCTCTTCATATTCATCAATCTCTTCCCCATCATACTCATCTTCACTTCCCACATCACTTCCTGACACCTCTGCTTCATCCTCCAAGTATTTTTTCAATCTCCTAGAAAGCAATTTTGAAGAACAGAAGATATGGAAATGAATATACACAAAGAACACGGATGTGATGAGAGATGAATGTAGAGCCACCTATACACTTAATTTTGTAGTAATACATTTTGATAATATTTAAAATAATGTTTTTGATAGCATTCAAAAGTTGATTACTTCATACACACCATGTACCAATAACTGTGGTTTATAGCCATTACTACATTATCTTAAAAGTGGATACTGTTATTTCCTTCATTTTATAAAGAGAATATCTAGGACAAGAGGAGATGGAAGCCAATAGTGCTAGAAATCTCATTAGTTCTGGAAGAAACTAGAAACGTTTAGTATCAAAATCACATAAGGAGGCTCAGAGTTTAAACAATTTACTTACAACTTAGAGGTAGCAGAACCTAGATTCAACCTAGGTTGGGTAACCCTAAAGCCAGAAAATTCTTAATCTCCTCCTACAAATTTAGGAGTACCTGCTGAAAGGTTCAAACTAGTTTGTTTTGCATTTAAGCACACCAGTTTTTAGGAGATGGCATGGTATATCCAGGGTCATGCACTGTGATCTTCTTACAGCTCACTATATCTTGACCCCTAAATTACAGGCAAGACTGAGGCTCAGAGCTCCTGGTAATCAAAACCACTACTAATTACTTTTTCTAGCTGCAGTCTGCTATCATCCTTGGTTCAAAGTCCTATTATCTATGGTCAGAAGTCTAAAGGGTAAATTTTATCAAAGACATACGTTATATTTTTTTAAAGCTGGGTTCATCTAAATCCTAGGGTTCCTTGGGAATTTCTTCAGGGAGTACTAGCCACTATGTTTCCCAATCTTCCTACACACCCCTTTTGAGCAGTTTGACTTTTAGCTGCCATTCTTTGTAAGACTCATTTGAACAAAGAGCCCTGCAGTTAAATAAAATTTAAGAACCACTGATTCAGGAAAAAAAAATCTATGGATAACCTAAAACTGTACGAGATAGTTAGTTTGACAGGTGACAAATTGGGACCCCAAATGGATCTTAATAGAGTGGAATGAAAGGCTAAAAGCAACAATATAAATATAATAGGGATCAAAATAATGTCCTGTATGTGAATTCCAAGGCATTCACATACAGTGTATTACTGAATATCTACCAGAATTATGTTTGTGAAACTTCCTAACATCAAAGGAAATCACTTATGGATATGCTAAGTGAGGGATGTACAAAAAAATATACAAAAATCATACCAACTATATAAAATATGTGCATAAAAATGTAAAGAGGAAATAATCATCATTAACCCTTTCATATATATTCTAGACAGTAGACATGAGTAACTTTTTTTTTTTTTTTTTGAGGTAGGGTCTCACTATGTAGCCCCGGCTAGCCTTGAAGTTGTGATATTCCTGCCTCTGCTTCCCAAGTGTCAGGATTATAGGCATTTGCCACCATGCCTGGCTATGAGTAGCTTTTTATTTCTATCTTTATATGTTCTTTTATTTATTTACTTTTTTTTTTGGGGTGCTGGGGATCAAACCTAGGACTTTAAACATGTTAGGCAGGTGTTCTACCACTGAGCTACACCTCCAACTCTTCTGTGTTCTTTTTAACATTTTATTTATTCATTTAATTTGCAGTACTGGGACTTGAACTCAGGACCTATACCCTGAGCCACTCCTCCAGTCCTTTTTTTTTTTTTCCAGTGATAGGTTTTTTTGAGATAGGGTCTTGTGAACTATTTGCCCGATTGGTTTTGAACCTCAGTCCTCCTAATCTCTGTCTTCTGAGTAGCTAGGATTATAGATGTGAGCCACCAGTGCCCAGCTCTTTGTAACATTTTAAAATAAATGTCTTAAAAAAAAAATGTCCTACTTTCATGATCAGAACAACAAACATTAAAAAACCAGAGTGGGCTGGAAAAAAATTTGGAGGCTACTTAAAAAGCTAGACATTGATCTACCATTTGATCCAGCAATACCACTCTTGGGGAGATATACCCAAAAGACTGTGACACAGGTTACTCCAGAGGCACCTGCACACCCATGTTTATTGCGGCACTATTCACAATAGCCAAGTTATGGAAACAGCCAAGATGCCCCAGCACTGACGAATGGATTAAGAAAATGTGGTATCTATACACAATGGAATTTTATGCAGCCATGAAGAAGAACGAAATGTTATCATTCGCTGGTAAATGGATGGAATTGGAGAACATCATTCTGAGTGAGGTTAGCCTGGCCCAAAAGACCAAAAATCGTATGTTCTCCCTCATATGTGGACATTAGATCAAGGGCAAACACAACAATGGGATTGGACTATGAGCACATGATAAAAACGAGAGCACACAAGGGAGGGGTGAGGACAGGTAAGACACCTAAAAAACTAGCTAGCATTTGTTGCCCTTAACGCAGAGAAACTAAAGCAGATACCTTAAAAGCAACTGAGGCCAATAGGAAAAGGGGACCAGGAACTAGAGAAAAGGTTAGATCAAAAAGAATTAACCTAGAAGGTAACACCCACGCACAGGAAATCAATGTGAGTCAATGCCCTGTATAGCTATCCTTATCTCAACCAGCAAAAACCCTTGTTCCTTCCTATTATTGCTTATACTCTCTCTACAACAAAATTAGAAATAAGGGCAAAATAGTTTCTGCTGGGTATTGAGGGGGTGGGGGGGAGAGGGAGGGGGCGGAGTGGGTGGTAAGGGAGGGGGTGGGGGCAGGGGGGAGAAATGACCTAAGCCTTGTATGCACATATGAATAATAAAATTAAAAAAAAAAAACAAAAAACCAGAGTGGGTCATTTGTTCAAGACTAGAATGAAGAAAACCTCAGATGACAGCAATTCATAGGAAAAAAATGTCCCAGGGTATTTCAGTTATCTGCTAGATCATCAGGATGTAGAGTGTGACTTGGCTCTTATACTCTTTGGTTACATTATAAGCAGTACTTACCAGGTACAAGGAAAAAGCCAGACTATAAGGATAAAGAGAATATCCAGGACATTAGGAAAATGAAAACAATGATACTAAAAATGTCACTAACTGGAAGGAATTAGAGATGTTTAGTATAAATATGACTTACAGAATGACCACCTTTGAATACTCAAGGATTTTGTTTAATTCAATGTTAACCACAAAAAGCAGAAATAGAATCAGCAAATTTAGCTAAAAAAGTAGTAAGCTACAAATCAACTATCAGGGGAGTTTTCTAGCAGTTGATAGAATGAAAAAAACACCTACATTTGCCTTTTCAGCTTCTCCGATTGCTCCAGGAGTTCTTCTTCATCATCATCATTGTCCATAGCACCTTCCAGTGCTAGTTCTTCATTTCCAGAGTCACTGTGTTCATCCTGCAAAATCATAGTATCATACCCAAAGTTAAGAAGAATAAAATATTCTCTGAACTAAAACAGGATTTATAGAAGGCTAATATGCTCATGCCTTGGTCATATAATAAACTTTATGTTCTTTTTCCTGTTTTTATTTTCTTTTGCTTTTTTTTTTTTGAGACAGGGTCTCACTATCTAATGCAGGCTGTCTTGGAACTAACTGAGTAGCCCAGGCTGAATTCAAATTTTCAATCCTCCTGTCCCAATGTTCCAAGTATTGGGTACTGGGATTACAGTGCACTGCCATACCCAGCTATTTTCTCCTGTAGTGGGGGCTGAAGATATAGCTCAGTAGTAGAGTATTTGCCTAGGATGCATGAAGCCCTGGGCCTGATCACCAGCACCACAAAAACCAAAACAAACAAAAAAATGTCCCCACTAAAATAGGATTTATAAACTTCTTTCCACACACCTCATTATAGGATATTGCTTCTAATAAGATGCCAAACTTAGAATTCTCAAGGACCTGAGGGCAGTAATTCATGGAGTTTAGTTATGTTCCCTTCATACTCACCTCATCACTATCAAACTCATTATCATTTGGGACAAGCTGAAAGTCTCCAAATTCCTCCTCTTCACCTTCTTCCTCCCTACAGTGCAAATCAATGAATCAATAAATAAGTTGTTGAAAGCAAATTATAAACAACCAGCTAAGTTGAGGACTTAAAATATTTTATTTTATTTATTTTTTTGGTGGTACTAGAGTTTGAACTTGGCCTCACGATTGCTAGGCACTTACTCTTACTGCTTAAGCCACTCCGCCAGCCCTTTATCGTGATGGGTTTTTTTGAGATAGGATCTCATGAACTATTTGCCCAGGGCTGGCTTCTAACCACTATCTGCCTGATCTCTGCCTCCTGAGTAGCTAGGATTACAGGAATGAGCCACTAGTGCCTGGCCTTAAAATATTTTATTAGCACCAATAATCTTTTCAAGAAATAAAAGACATTTTGCCTTGAAAAAAAATTGTTTTAGCTAGGTTCCAGTGGCTTACACTTGTAACCCTGGTTACTTGGGAGTTGAGAGGATAGTAGAGTTCCAGGCCAGGCCAGGCAAAAATTTCCCAAGACCCCATCTCAACTAATAGCTGGACATGGTGGAGCATAACTGTCATCCCAGCTATGGCAGGAAGCTTAAAATGGGAGGATCACAGCCCAGGCTGAGACTCTATCTCTAAAATAACCAAAGCAAAAAGGACTGGAAGCATGGCTCAAGCAGTAGAGCACCAGACTATCAAGGTGAGTTCAAACCTTGTACTGCCAAAAATGAAGAAAAAAAAATTATCTTAACTGTGGCAAAATACAGAAATCATAAAATTTACCATCATAACTATTTTTAAGTATACAATTCTGTATTGTTAAGTACATTAATGCTGTTGTATAAGCAATCCCCAAAACTCTTTATCATGTAAAACTGAAACTCCATACCCATCAAACAACTTTCTATTCCTCCCTACCCCTAACCTCTGGCAACTTCCATCCTACTTTCTATTGCTATGAATTTGACTACTCTAAGTATCACAGATAATTTGACTCATACAATATTTGTCTTTTTGTGACTAGCATCCTACTCTCAGCATAACATCTTCAAGTTAGCTATGTTGTGACATATGTAAGAATTTCCTTCCTTTCAGGCCAGGCATTCTGATTGACTGCCTATAATTCCAACACTTGGGGGGCTGAGGTAGGAGGAGCATGAGTTTGAGGTCAGCTTGGGCTACATAGCAGAACCCTAACCAAAAAAAAAAAAAAAAAAATCCTTCCTTTAAGGTTGAATATTCCATTGTATGAATATACCACACTTTGTTATCCATTCATCCGTCATCAAACTGTTGGGTTCCTTCCACATTTTGGCTATTACTTATAATGCTGCTTTGAATATGTGTGTCCACATATCTGTTTTGAGTTTTTATTTTTACTTTTTTTGAGTGTATACTAAGAAGCAGAATTGCTGGATCAGACGATAATTCTTTTTTCTTTTTTGACAGTCTAAAAGACTTTCAGTTTTTCATCTATTGTGCTATGAATCATAGGGAATGGTTTCAGCAGCTTGGGCTCTTTTCTGCTGATTTTTTACAAAGTGTGCTTCTCTGAGTGGAGCAGGCTAGTGCTTCAGGTGAACCCAGGAACCTTTCCTTTTGCTTCCTTCCTTCTCTGATCATTTTCCTTCACACTTGTCAGGAAGCTTATCTTTAGCTCTTAGAGTGCTTACTATACTCAATATACACATTAATTCTCTTGGCAAGAATCTTGCCTTTACCTTACTTGTTTATAACAATGTCAAACTTGTCACGGTAACATCTGTGAGACATTCCTTTTTGAACAACAGCTATTTCCTTGATGTCTACAACACCATCTTTGTAGATTTGCATATATGTGGCCAAAGGAACAATTACATGTTTTCTAAAAGGTCTGGAGAACAAATACCAGGTGCCTCTCTTCTTTCCCTTTATGTTCATTTATTTTGGCGAATTACTAAAAAATGCTAATTCCAGCTGAATTCTTTTTTTTTTTCTTTTGACAATATTGGGTTTTGAATTCAGAACTCAGGCCTTGAATTTGCTAAGCAGATGTTCTACCACTTCAGCCACACACCCAGCCCTTTCTTCTGTAGTCATTTTTTGAATAGGGTCTCGTGTTTTTGCCCAGGCTGGCCTGGACCACAACCCTCCTATTTACATCTGTCGCTTAGCTGGGATGACAGGTGCGTGACACCACACTTACCTTTTATTGATTCAGATGGAGTCTTCCTAACTTTCTTTTTTTTATTCGGGCTGGCCTCCAATTCTCCTGATCTCTGCCTCTCAAGTAGCTGGGATTACAGATGAGAGCCATTGTGCCTGTCTCTATTTTTACCTTTTATGGAAACATCACACTGTTTTCCAGAGGCTGCCCCATTTTACATTCTCATCAAATTTCTATACACAAATTATCTACATCCTCTCCAACATTTGTTATTTTTTTTTAATTGTAGTTATTCTAATGCATTCAAGGCAGTATCTCATTGTGATTTTGATCAGAGAAGATGTAAAGTAGCAGGTTGAAAACTCTAAACTTATTTCCAACACCAAAGTCAGAAGGAGAATCTCAAACCAGAAAACAAGGAAATCCTCATTTCCTTGTTTCTTTCTTTCTTTCTTTTTTTTTTTTTTTTTTTGCAGTACTGGGGTTTGAACTCAGGTTCATGTTTACTAGGCAGGCACTCTACCACTTAAGCCACTCTGCCAGCCCTGCATTTCCCTTGTGATTAATGATTTTAAACATCTTTCATGTGTTTATTCTTGTCATTTTTTTTAACCCATTCTTCACCAAAGTATAATTTATTATGCAAACATGAGATTCAAATCTACTCTGTAAGACTCTGACAAGATATTAAGCCCTTAAGATGATCAGTTACTGCTAAACCCACAGAAACTTATTGTAAGATGTTATCAAAAGACCAGGTCTTTCTAAGTTCCCAGGAATCACTGATACTCACCTGTCTGTTGGGAAAGAACCTGAGCAAAGAGCAAGTGCTTCTTCCATTGGATCACCCATGCTATTCTCCTTTTCTGGCTTACTCAATTCAGATGAAGCCATAGGGGAGGCATCTACATCAACAAGGAAAAGATTTGTCACCAAGGAGTAACAACTTTATCCTCTCTTCCCAGCTATCTAAAGACATGCCAGCTCAATACAGTTCTAAAGTAAGCTTGCCAAAAATCTCACCATTCATTCATTCATTCATTCAACAAATCCTTATTTATGCTTTGTATGTGCTGAGCACCAGGGACAATAGAACAAAGATCCCAATCCTCTCACAGAGCTTAGATTCTAGCAGGTGTGAGAGTGGTGGTGGGGGGAGGGGGCCAGGTGCAAAGATAAGTTAATATTTATATAAATTTTACCATATACCAGACACTGTTCTAAGCTTTGTACACAGATTAACGATAAATGACATTATTATATGGCCAAAGCTAAGGCAGTCTGTAGCTAATATTTGACCATTCCAAGAAAAGGCTCTAAATATCAGGGGCTAAGCTGAATTCAATCAACATGCAAGATTCTATCACAGCTGTGTTTTCTGTGGATTTTTCACCTGAGGGCAAGGGCCTTCTTTTCATCTGACTTAGATATTTGCCTGATACTCTTTGTTGAATATTTACCTTGAGAAGTGAATTTTCCTGAGCAAAGATTCAGAAGTTCCTCCATGTTCTCTTTCTTGTCATTCTTCTTAGGTTGACATTTGTCAGGCTGAGATGTAAACTTTCCAGTACACAAATCCAACAGCTCATCCATATTGGCATCCATGGCATTCTCATCCATACTGGCCAGTGGCAATTGAGGCTTCAAAGCTTGGTACTGATTCCTGTGGTTTCTAACATTTAAAAATCTACGAGCACAACAAATAGTGTAAGAAATTCTCCAGAGAGGATGTAAGTAGCAGGTGGAAAACTCTAAATTTATTTCCAACAACAAAGTCAGAAGGAAAATCTCAAACCAGAAAACAAAAGATTCAAATTTTAGTCTCATGCTAATATAAAAGAGAGCAGGGAAAGTTTTGTAAAAGAATATGATGATATTCAGAAGGTAAAGTATCAAGGATAATTGTTAGCCCCCCAGTGGCACTAGAGCAGGGCTGGGGGTTATGTCCTGTATTGTGCCACCAGTCTGTGAATTTTCAATTTTACTCAACAATCATAACACAGGAGGAGGAACCAGGGAAATCTGATGCCCTTACAAGATCTATGCATTTCAGATGAATTTGTTTTTCTTCTTTTTTTTTTTTTTTTTTTTTGTGGTATTGGGATTTGAACTCAGGGTCTTAAGCCATGCCCCCAGTCCAAGATCTATATACTTCAAATAAGAACAGATCAAAGGATCAAAATGTTAGCAAGAGTTATTTACATTTTATTTTCTGGAGAGACTTTGTTCAAACTTGTAGAATGTAATACTAATGGTCTGTACACCTTCTCTTTCTCAGAAGAGAAAACACAGATGGAGTAACAGAAGCTCACTTTATTTTTAAACAAAATTAAGCAGTACCCAGCACCATTCCCACCCACAGAAACACAAAACTACCTACCCATCTGCATCCAACAGTTGGCTCTGAGTGTCATCTTCTAAACAGAACTGGAAGTCTCCTGTTCCTAGGAAAAGTGTCTTGGGCTCTGGGGAGGCGTTATACAGATCCTGGGAATCCTCTATGGGAAGTGAGGGCTCAGACAGTTTCCCTGAACTCTGGCACCAAAACAAAAACAAACAATAACAAAACATTTTACAAATGTCATTCAGTGTCATGACAACAGAAGTTGCTATTTGTAATATTTCATCTGTTCTTCAGGCAACTGCAGTTGAAGACAATGCATAGCCAAAAGAAGCCTAAAGAAAAATACCTCCAAGAAGGTAAGGATGCTGGATGCAGTTTGTTTCTCATATACAAATGGGGTGGATTTTTAAAGATGAACACATATAAGCTCAGTACTAAGGTGGTGGGAGTTGGTTGGTTGGGACACACTTTATTTAGCAATGTGGGAAGCAAAGGGAGGAGGAGATTAGAAAAATTATTACCACCTTACCTTAGAAGCTGAGCTGACCAAACTGGCTCGAAATAGCCCAGGAGAAGGGGATCTGAATCCTCCTGCTGTAGGGAAAAAACTGGTCCCTCGACCTGTTTGTCTGTTGCAAGGCTGATAGGATGGAATTGTGGAGCCAATCAGCTCAAAGCTGCTATTGTGGCTGCTTTCTTTTGTTAGCAATGAACAAGAATCATCTTCATCTAAAGAAAGAGAAGAACCTTTTAAGTGCATGACTACAGAAATAAAGTGGATTTGTTTAGGAAAAGAGTTGAGGGCAAAACTGTCAAGTAAAATTGATAGGCAAACTCATCAAGTTATAGGTTCCAAGTGAAAGGTAAAAGACCTTTAATTTACTATGATAGCATTATATAAATTAGGGTTTATTACTCTGAGAAAGAGAAAGTTCTCTTTTTTCTCTCACTCTTCATGATGCCATAATCATTCTGCATTATCCAATAATTTACACACCTTCCTTTGATCTACATATAGAAATATTTCATGTTTCACTCAACAAATCAACACTCACTCACTATGAACCTACTAGATGTCCATGGTCCACTATAAAGAAAATGCATGTAAGTTTTCAAAAAATGGGCAAAGAAAAAAATATTCTAGTTCAAAAGCACCTCTTGTTGCCACACGTAAGACTGGGAAAAGTCACTAGATTAAAAAAAAAAATAGAACCTTTATGAGATTATACTCCTTTAAGAATCAAGCTGGAGAACTAAAGAAAAATTACATTATACACAAGAATCACTACTTACCCAGTTTACTAGGCTGTTTGCCTAAGTTTTCATCTGTTTTTTCTTCAGTAGGAAAGAAACTACAAAATAAGAAGGTAAGGTGTTTAAATATCTGTTCCTACTTCTTACTAGAGCAGCAAATCTAAGAGAATTTTATATTTCCTTAGAAAGAATTACTTACCCCATCTTGGAAGAGTTGTCCTTAAATAGAAGTAAGGTAGAATCTGATGAGAGAGGCTTGGGGACAGAGAGAAGGTCAACTGACTTGGCACTTTCACTACTGCCATCATTATTTTCTTTATCCACTTCTTTCTCATCTTTGGTATCTACGTCTTTACTACCAAGAAGGAATTCTCCAATCTTTACCAAACATGCAACCCAAAAACAAAATAATACAAGTCACAACATTTAAAAACACATCAACTGTTAGCCTGAAATATGGCTGCTTGACTATAGGCCACATCTTAAATCTGAAAAGGTACACTTGAAGGAAGCTCAGTCTGATCATTATCATTAAAAAACTTTCCCTGATACTTTTAGAGCTCTCTTACACTCATTTTATCTTACACCTGCCCCAAATTGCTACAAAATGATAAAGGAAGACTGGATTATCATTTTACTGAGGCAATAAGAGGTTAAATCATAATTTTAAGATTGCAGGATGACTACTGACCTCAAACCAACCACAGACTAAGATATGCTGACCATATTCTTTTTTTTCACCCAGGGTTAAATACTAACCAACTCAAGTGACCCTAGGAAATAAATAAGAAAGGTTTTTCATACCTCACTGTTATATATAATCACTTGTCTTCCTGGGACAGAAAACAACAATACAGAACGAAGCAAAAGGACCTTCTACAAATGCCCTCTTTAACAACAACAAAAAAATGAGATTAATTTAGGAAGGCCTCTGCTTGCCTGAGAATTTATTCCAAACCTCAAACTAGCCAAGGTTAAGATTATTTTTTAATCTAATAGAGAAAACTAAATTAACAACAAGCGTAAAGATCCCTATTAATACAAAGACATTTTCAATATTAAAATATGTAAACTAACAAGTAGAAGACAAGGATACAGCTCTGTGAACTGCAGGTTTCAATGCTGCTGACAGAACTGGATGCACTAAGATTTAGGTACATATGAACTAGCTACCTTCATCCATGCTTCTGAACTCTTACATATTTGACATGCTTATTATACTCTTATTTAAATCTGATTTTCTTATTTATCATGAATATGTAACAAAATTGAAAAATTATCAGAAACCTCCTGATTGCCTTCTTCCTCCTCTTCCTCTTGTTCTTCTTTCTCCTCTTCTTCCTCTACCTCCTCTTCTTCATCTTCCTCAGACTCATCTGTCATTTCTTCCTCTTCTTCCTCATCATCCTCTTCAAATCCATCTTCATTATCTAATTTAAATAATGCTTGGCGCTTTTGCCGTTCCTCAAACCTTCGGAGTTTCATGGCTTCTTGCAGTTTAGCTTTTAGCACCTGTAGCTTTTCACCTGAAAAGAAATATGTTGACATATTTTAGACATAATAATTGACTACATAATAAAATCATTAAGTATGCACTTTAGGCAAATCCAGAAGTGTTCTAGTAATATTCCAAAGGAAAATCAAGGACCTTAGTACTCAAGGGTTTATTTTAACACATGGGAATTATTATGAACTGAAGTGTAAGAGAGAAATTCTACAACAGGGATTATAAAATAATTATTTAAAGTGTGTGTGTGGGGGAAGTGACTGCAAAAGTCTCTTCTGGCTCAGAAGCCGTGAAGGAAAACACTGATAAATTTACTTATATTAAAGAAACAACTCAAAAGTAAAATTGGCAAAAGATATGAATTGGTAGTTCATAGAAAAACAAATAAATCTAAAATAAAGCTTACTTACATTTTAATTAAAGTGACACAAGTCAAAATAGTAAGATATAATTTTTGACATTGGCTTGGCAAAAATTGGATTTTATAATATCTATTATTAACAGGAGGAATCAGAAATTCTTATACACTGATTCAGAGTGTGAATTGGTGCAACTACTTTGAAGGACAATTGGATGATATATATCAAAACTTGACTCAAGACTCCACTATCAGGAATTTTGCATCCAGATACATCAATTCATATGTGGTACTAGGAATGGATGTAACAACTAAAAACTGGAACAAACAAGATGTCAATCAAAAGGACTATGGTTAAACAACTTATGTTGTATTCATTCAATGGAGTATTATGCCAACATTTAAAAAAGCCTCAAGAGTAATATAATACGTATCTGAGCCCCTGAGTTTGATGGTCTAGGTTAGGCTGCTGGTCATACCACTTAGTAGCTGTGTAAACTCAAGCAAGTCATTCTAATGCTCTGCATATAGGTTTCTCCATTTATAAAATAAGGATACTAATTTGCTTTGGGTTGTAAGGATTAAATGACATAAAGCATGTAAAACAGCTAGAACAGTGCCTGGCAGAGTAAATGTTTAATATTGCACACATACAAACAAAATGGAATATGCATAAAGTTTTTTTTCTTAGTTATCTTTCAGAAGAATAATTTTTTGATACTTTTTTCAGAGTTTTAATTTTTTTTCCATGTGATATACTACTTGTATTTCACAAAGTGGGTGTGGGAACAACAGACCTGTCTCTAATATATTGCTAAAATAAAAAAGTAAATTACAAAGCAGAATGCATGGTATGATCACATACCATGGTGGGTTGCTTTTGTTTGGTTTTGTTTTGCAGTGCTGTGGATGGGAACCTAGGCAAGTGTTCTCTACCACTCAGCTACATCCCTCAGCCTACTATTTATTGGCTTTTGTTTATTTTCAACATATACATATGTACATACAAAGAGAGTTTATAGGATAGATACACAATATAGTTATTGAACGTATACCTGATAGACTATTAAGTTTTTTATTTATTTTTTCTATGTATTTCTCTACAGTAGATATTTATTGCTTTTTATAAAAAGACAAATACTATTTTAAGAAATAAAGCTACTTTTGACCACTCCACGCCTCTAGGTGTGCAACATGTGAATCATGCTGGAGATCTTGCTGTCCAATCTCCAAAGTATGCAAGGGAAAAGATTCTATAGCTTTGTACTACTGGGTCTTCAGCAACCGTAAAGACAAATACCTGGTTTTGTGTGGCTTGCTCTGTCCAGCTTCTCAGCTGCCAAAGTCACAGGTACCACATCTGCCTTTAGCTCTTCCTTTCCATCATTACCCAAGTTCTTCACTATGATGTTCACATTCACCGTCTGACCAGCCCTGGGTTTGGCCGCTGGATTAGCATGCTTCCAGAAACGCTGCTTCAAGGCTTCCAGTTCTAAACTCAGATGCCAACCAAATTGTCAGTTTGCCATACTCAAGCTCTTCCTTTAAGATTCCAGTTAAGAATTATAAACTAAGTTTCCTAGCTCAACAACATTGAGGAAAAATTATAGAGAGAAACCAAAAATCCCTGTGCTACTAATACTTGCATCAAATTCATATAACTTAACCAAAACTAATGGACTGCTGCAACAATCTTTCCCAGTGTTTCAAAAATCAGACTTTTAAGACAGAATTTACAACTGTTTACAAGTTTGTAAATATGTGCATTCTTTTTTTTTTAAGTATTAAACAAGTAGGAAAAATACCTTAATTCTCAATTATCAAGAGTTTCTCATGGACCTTGTTTTTTTCAATTCCCTGTTTTGAATATTTTACCATTAGCAATGTCAGTGATATAACTCAGCAGCAGGCTTGGAAAAAGTTTTTTGGGTTTTTATTTTTTGATGAAACTGTTCTACAATAAGAAAGGAAATCCCTTGTACCACACACTCAATTTGTATATATATGCTAGGAAAGCTCAGTACTCCACTGCAATAGAGTCTGTCCTCTCATCTTCATTGCTATAGCTTAGAATTTCCTTCTCTTTTTTCCCTCAGCCAGCTGTTACCTGGCACCATCTCCTACTTACTCTGTTGAACACTTCATACCATTGTGGGATCTGTCATGAGAGAGCTGGCTGGCAAGACAGCTGGCAGTTATACAGAGAATGGAAAGGAAAAAAAGAAAAGCTCCTTTGGGGATGAGAGGAAATATCTCTGGATATTTTCATGCAGCCATTTTTCTTCCCTGATAAAAGGTCTAAGGTCTCCAAGTTTATTAATTTTTAACAAATGTACTCAAATTACTTTAGTAGCTTTGTGATTATCATATAGATGTGTTTTTTTCTCTTCCTAGAGGATCTAAATAGAAAAAGAGAACTAAAAGAAAATCTTTTTACCCTGAGTCCCTAACATTATTAGCAGCAAAAACCCAACTCCAAACAATGGTATATTTACATTTCAAGCAAAAGAATAGGGAGAGAAGCTGTAAGTCTGTTTCCCATTTTAGTGATTCAGTAAAGTTGGAAGCAACAGGTTGTGGCAGTGGAAAGGGAACAGAAGAAGGTAGATGGTTATTGATGCCAACAGAATAAAAGAAACAGTTGTCTAGGAAGATTATTAAGGACCTAAAATAACAGTAAGGAGGTGTCATCATTCCATAACTGGAAAGAAAGCAAAATTCTCGAAACTCTTTATCCTCTAATCTATGGGAGCAACCACTTCCTTTGCTCTTTATTACACAGCTCAACCATCACTTTCCTCTCCCTCCACACTTCATCATTTCTCCAAGTAAATAATTTCTGCCCAGCTCAAGTCTCTACCAATAGCTTGTATCTCTAACTATTCTCATTCCCACTGCTCTGATCAGAGTAAGGGAATTAAAGGTAGAGACTATTTCCTGTGCTATTGCAAAGAATAAGAATAATATATTTCAGATGCAACTAAGTTTAATCTACATGCAATTTTTCATGAAAACCTTATTCTACATGAGGTAAGGAAACTAAGCTGTTCCTACTGCTTTTACTCTTAACTCCTTCCAAGGCATCCACCACATCAGATACCTGGTTACACTTCCTAAAACAAGTATCTGATATCCTTTGCTAAAAACTTTTCAATGGTCTTCTACTAGCAAAAGGCTAAAGTCCAAGCTCTAGCATGGCCTAAAAGCCTGCATGAGCTAGGCTCTTATCATGAATCCCTTTGCAATCTTCACTTCCACCAGCCAGAACTCTCTGTACTATCTATTATCTATATCACTTGCAGTTCTGTCCCCTTCACTAGTAAATCCTTACCTCTCCTCCCTGCCTCAGTGTCTCCTCAACTTTCAGGACTCAGCTCATTTCAGAAGCTTCCCTTGACTCCCTAATCAAAGTAAGCACAACTTTCATGTCAATTATTTCTAAAGCAAAACATGTTTTGTGGTAAAAGCAAGTGTCCATTATTTGGCAGGCACTATGCTGGGTTCTTCTATAAACCAAGTATAATGTTGGAAAAATTGCCAATTCCACTGAGCCTGTTTCTTCTTTATGCAAAATAGTATCTGGGGCTATGAGAATTAAGCAAGATAACTAATAAGAAATTTATCAGGGATGTGGACTGGCTCAAGTGGTAAGACCACCTGCTTTGCAAGTGTGAGGCTGAGTTCAAACCCCAGTACCGCCAAAAAAAAAAAAAAAAAAGAATTTATCAGTATCTAATATAGTAGATACTTAAAAAATGCTTTTTCCCCATCCCTTTGCCCAGAACTGTTTAGATAACTTTTTGTTCCATTTAACAAAACATTTCCTCAGAGTTATGGGCAGCAGCACATTCTCATGCTTCTTAGCTAATGGAGCTATGCTAGTTCTGTTATATGACCCCTCCACTGTACTTCCATTTCCAATCAAACTGTCACCTCTTCCCAAAATGCACTATGCAGAGTTCTTTCTGTCCTTTCCAAGAATGTCATTTTTCTGCCTCCACAAAGTCCATTCAATCAACAAAATCTGGCCAGGCATTTTTTATACACCACACAGTGGCTGACATAGCACCTGCCAACAATAAGCTATCTAATGAAGGAGTCTTGATATAAGCAATTTTAGGCAGCAATCACTATTTTGAGTGTTCTTATGCTATCCACTTAAATGCATTATTTCAATAAATCTGCACTATAGCTCCTGAGCCATACAGTGCTTATTTCATTTTTTTTTAAAGATGGGCTAAAAAGAGCCAGGTATGGTAGCACATGCCTATAATTCCAGCACTCAGGAGGTTGAGGCAGAAGAATCAGGAGTTTAAGGCCACCCTGAGCTACATAGCAAGATCCTGTCTCAATAACAATAAAGATGAGCTGGAGAGGCCAGTTAGCATACCCGTGGTTAAACAGTTCTTTGTGTAGTTCAGACTCAAACCCTGGTCTTGCTAGAGTCTAAGCTTTTAATCACTATACCACGCTGCCTTAACAAAGAGGAAGAGCACCCAACTCTACCTGAGTCAAGAAGTGTACTAAATGTGATAATGCTTGAGTTCAATGTTGAAGGATCATTCATTCATTCATCCACTCAACAAACAGAAATGCTATCATGTGTCATCCACTGAGGTAGCTCTGGAGATAGAGCACAGCACAAGGCAGGAGATCTCAACTCACAGTACAAAAGGCAAGGAACAAATATAACATCCATACACTCTTACTTTAACCAGCCATTGGAAGAAATATCCCTCCTCTGAACTCTCATAATACTTTATTCTAAAAAATTTTTTTCAGAATACTTTTCTTTTTCATGTTATTTAATTTTTTCCACTTATCAATAATATCCATAGGTTCTGTATCTGTGGATACAACCAGCTTCAGATTGAAAGTACTTGAAAAAAACTGCATCTGCACTGAACATGTACAGACTGTTTCCTTGTCCTTATTCCCTAGATAATACAGTACAACTATTTACATAACAATTTACATCATATCTTAATTTCAGCTACTCAGGAGGCAAAGATCAGGCAGAAATAAATTTGTAAATACCATAATACAATAGCAATGTACCTCTTTGATATATTAACTATCATCAGGCTTCCATTTTAAATAAGGTTGGGATCACTCTGACATTCTGCCAAATTTATCTAAGTGGAATTCTGCACACATCTGGTACAGCTATAAAGTAAGATGTGTGGTTATTGGCTTCTCCCATGTTCCCTGCCCTTCACAGTAGCAAATAATCAACAGTTGACAGGATAAAGCACCCCAAGGAGATTCCCCACAATTTAAAGGATTACCTCTGTTGGTTTCAGGTTCATCGAGTATCACAAAGGAATCTTTATCAGCACCCAGCCGAGGTTTAATGGAAATATCTACTCCCAGCTGTTTAAGTCTATCCAGAGTGAACCGTCTCACTTTTTCAGGTGGCACAACTGCTGATGATTTAGTTTTCTGCATAGGTTCTTCCACTTTCTCATCTGTGTCTTCTGTTTTTCTCAGTCTATCTTCTTCCTCCAAGGCATGAGCGTCAGATGCTATGAGCCCTCCAATCTGATGCTCCTCACTGGCCTTGTTCCTGAGGATGTCGGATTCCTGTTGCAACACTGATGTGTCCCCAAGCAAAGGACTATCATCACTTTGTTTCTGTTTCTCCTGAATTTCCAGCTCTTTGTTTCTTACTGGATCCTTACTGCAAGCCTCACCTGATCTAGTTGTGATCTGAAGTTCCTTTGAAACCATAGGGAGTACGTGAATTTCCGTTTCATATTCTGTACCTGTTGTCTGCTCAAAACTTTTCCTGTGGTGATCACCATTCATTTCAGTTGTACCTGCAGCATTTATGATTTCTTTGCAATGGCTTGACTGATACTTAGATGACCTAGAGAAAAGGCAATGAGCTAAAGTTGAAAAGTATCTTAAATATGAAACATTCTTATCTCTTAACACATAATCAGCTAAGTTTTTAAAAGAGTAAGGAATCTGGAGGCATGGTTCAAGTGGTAAAGCACCTGATTTGTAAGCACAAAGCCCTGAGTTCAAACCCCAGTCCCACCAAAAAAAAGAAAGAGAGAAAGGAACATGGACTTTTTATGCCAGATGTTGGCTATAAAACTAAATATTCACAAAGAACGAAGATTATAATCACATGGATAAAAGGTTCTTACTTGAGTAGTGCCATGGCATTTCCCTGGCAGGTGGGCCGGGGTTTACGTTTGAAGAAATCATGAATAGTTTTATTCTCAGGCATATGATATGGAAGATTAAGTGCAGACTCTAAAAAATAGAAAATAAGCAGACACACCTACTGTATATTCTGAAATGTCACTTCATAGTCAGTCCACCAAACAGTAAAACCAAAGCTATCACAAGAAACAGAAAATAATCCTGGCTTTAACAAGGACAAGAACTAAGTATAAGAGAGCTTCCTGAAGACTAGTAGCTTTTAAACCTAGTTGTGAAATCAAAATAATCCAGAAGCTTTTAGGGACAGAGGCATGGATTGATAGGTAGAGTGCCTGCCTATCAAGCACAAAGTCCTCAGTTCAAATTTGAGTACCAAAAAAAGAAAGAGAGAGAGGGACTTATTTTCCAGAGGTGTGGGATTTATTATTCAAGTGGTAGAGCACCTATTTTGCAAGTTCAAACCCCAGTCACACACACACACACAGAGTACAAAATAATCCAGAATTTTTAAACAAATACAGACTCTTGAACCCCATTTCAAATCTACTGAATCAGAATCTTTATATATTTGAAACTTCCTAAAGGGACCCTGATACAATCAGTCCACAGACAACCATTTAGAAGTTTTTTCTTGGCGAGGTATGGTGGCTCACGCCTGTAATCCCAGCTACTCTGAAGGCAGAGATCAGGAGGACCATGTTTGAGACCAATCTGGCAAAAAAGTTAGTGAGAACTCATCTCAATTAATAAGCTGAGTATGATGGCAAATACCTGTTATTCCAGCTACTTGGAAGGCATAAATGGGAGGACTGTAGTTTAGGCCAGTCTAGGGGAGAAACAAAAGACCCTATTTGAAAAATAATTAAAGCAAAAAAGGGCTGGGGATCATGACTCAAGTGGTAGAGGGCCTGCTAGCAAACACAAGGCCCTGAGTTCAATCCTCATTACCACAAAAGAAAAAAAAAAAAATCTCCTCTTTACCCCACTACACTTCTGCAAATTTTTCTGATTATACTAATATTCAAGGGCTTGAGAACAACGGTCACTTACCAAGATCAATTCTAAAGTTCATGTTATAATTTGAGTTTACATTAGGAATGTCAAAAACAATATTAACAAGTTTACAAAAAAACATTGTGATTCACTGCAAAGCTTATTATACTGGTTTGTATTACCTCGAATAAGGCGCTGAGTCTCACTATGCATTTTTTTTAATGCTTCCTTACTTAACTTGGCTGCTTTTCTTTCCTTAAAGAAAACAAAAGGTGAAACTACATTAATGTTGTCATCCAGAAAGATATATTCATCCCTCAAGTTTGTTCTCCCTAAGAATAGAGGAAGAGAAGGAATAGTAAACACTAATTTACTCAATATAACATAAATCCAAGGAGCTCATTTATTGGCAAGTCTCAGAAAATTAATTCAATCTGATACGTATTTGTGTTCCTGCTATGTACAAAGCAATATGTTGGGTCCCAGGAAAACAAGATAAACAAGATATCTATTCCTGATAAAAGCACAATCCTCTGGGGACAGAGATCAATGTGAATACTATATAGGGCTCTACCTTACCTTCCTCATGGTACCTTTGGATGACTCACTTTCTTCTTCGAATGAAAAGATACCATTCTCCAAAGATGATTCCTTTTTCTGAAACAGAATGCAAGTAGATTATGAGGACAAAAACTAAATTTGAATAAAAGGATATTATATTACATACTAATTACCAATAATTCAATAATTATCAAATAGAAAATGTTAAACATATAGCATCCTCTTATGCTTAGAAAAAAAATGAGATGCCTCAAATCTTCAAATAGAATTTGGACCCTCCCTTCTTGTATCTCTGCTTATATATTTCCCTAGGGAGGGACAATGACTTCCAGTGGCTAAAGAAAATCTTAAGAAAAACAATTATGTTTGGGTAATCACAAATGCTAAGCAAGCACTCTACCACTGAGCTACACCCTGAGCCCGTGCCTCTCTTTAACACTATCCCTTAAACCTTACAGTGTTTATTTCCAGAGGTCACAGAATTGTAAAATTGATATCTCTGCCCCGTTACTTATCTGCTTCTAAGCACAACATAAAGTACCTTACATTTTCCCCTGACCAACATTCCTAAAAGGGCAATAATAAAATACTAGTTTTCAAAGAAGTTAGCATGTCTATCACTTGTACTGCAAGTTTCCAAAGTTAACAGCTGAAAAACTCATCAATCAACACTTCTTTTTTCAGTTAAAAAAATAAGATTGTAACAGTAAGTAAAAAAATAAAGCAAAGGTTACAAGTAGTTGGTTAGCTCTTATTGCAAACATGATGGTTCTTAACTTGCCTTGTGATTTTTTACTTTGTTTTTCACAGCTGCCCTTATGGATTCTAATGACTCTTCATCTTCCAATGGAGAGTTATTTTCCTCCTCCAAACCTGTTTCAAAAAGGTCTTTATCCACAAGAAGACAGCCACTGTCATTAAATGGCTGTTCCACATTATTTTCCTGGACAATGCATAAAGAAAAAACATAATCCAATCATTTTAAAGCCCAGCATTTCACATTATATGCCAATTTGGATCAGGCAAGCAAAAATCCAACTTTCATCAATAAGACATTCATCTAGAACATTCTGATTCCTAACAGTCACAGTTAGCCTTTTAAGTGCAAGCTAAGACTTTTATCCAAATATCCAGAAATAAATTAGTAAACAATAAAAATTTTTAAAAGTCAGCTAAGTACTTATTAAGCAACTAGTTTATAAAATGAGTAATTTTTCTAGGTAGCAAACAAACTTTTGAATGATGTATGCATTAAAAATTCTCCTTTCAAAGTTAACTTTCATCAGGTTAGAAGTAGCAAAGAATTACTCCATGAACTTAACAGAAATCCATTTATTTGGAAGTGTCCTCTGCATATCCACAATAACAAATAAGATCAATAAACTGTAAAATATGTACTTATTACACTGCACAAAGCAGTCACTTCAAAGCTATGTTCCAAGTATAGAAACAACCTCAAAAACTAAGTCACTTTTTCTAAAATATTAATTTACCTGAGAAAAGGGAAATTAGTCTTTAAAAATGTACCTCAATGAGTAGATAAAGAAAATATGGCATATATACACAAAATTATTATTCAGCCATAAAAAGTAATGAAATTCTGTCATTAGCAGCAACTTTTGATGGAACTGGTAGACATTAAGTGAAATAAAGCATGCCTAGAAAGACAAATACCACATGTTCTCACTTATACGTAGAAGTTAAAAAACTGATCTCATAGAAATAGAGACTAGACAGCAGTTATCAGAGCCTGGCAAGGGGATGAGGAGGAAGGAAGGAGAATATAGGATATAGGGATGTGGTTAAATAGAAATAACTCCTAATGTTCTACAGCACATTAAGATAACTAGAATTGAAAACTATTAATTGAATATTTCAAAAACCAGTAAAAAAGACTTTGGATCTTCCCAACACAAATAAATGCTAAATGCCAGAGGTGATAGATCTGCCAATTGCTCTAATGTATCACTTCACAGTGTATACATGTATTGAAATATCACACTCCACAAATATGTACAATAACAGTGTCAATTAAAAATAAAAATATAGGGCTGGGGGATATGGCTCAAGTGGTAGAGAGCCTGCCTAGCAAGCTTGAGGCTCCCATCTAAAACTCCAGTACCACCAAAAAATAAATAAACAATTAATTAATTAAAAATTTTGAATAAAGACTACATTACTGGGCTCAAAAAATTATAATGTACCTCATCTTTTGTTTCCTTCTTTTTCAACCGTCTGATTTTCTCCATCTTTCTTTCTTCCTTCTCAAGTCTTCTCTTTGATTTTACTTTTGCTTTTCCTTCATTTCCTTCTTTATCACTTATGGATTTTTTAGAAGGTTTTCTGTCAATGGTGGTAAAGTCTACAGAGTTTCCAAATTGGAGAATCAGCTCTGAACCAGGTGTAACCTGAGTTTCAAGATTTTCTTGATACAAAGACTCCTCCCTATTACTTTCATCATTGTTTGCCAGTGTTTTGTGAATCCTTTTGTTTTTTCCACTTTTTCCAGCATATAAGTTCTCTTTATTTTCCTCATCACTGTCATAAGTAGTTTTCTCTGGAGAGGCATTTCTGTTTTCTGATTCAGAATCACTGTCCTGTAGTACCTTCCTGCTTTTCAGTTTTTTACTCACAAATATCTCCTCGTCTGAATCTGGAGGAAACATAATTCAAAAAAAAAAATAAAAAGGTACATAATCAATTGTCCTTCCTCCTAGTCCCACTCTTCCTCAAAAATATATTCAATTATACATGTGAAAATATGTATCATCTTGTGAAATTATGTAACTACCATTAAGAACTGATTGTAGCAAAGCCTATCTAAAAATATATTTTGAAAATCTTTTTCCCTGGAAAAATGTCTCTTGCTGAGAAGTATAATTATATACATTTACAACGTATAAAGTTGTTCTAATCCATCTGGCAGGTGTTTAAAAAAATCCCTTTATTATAGGATGAATGCATTTAATCAAGCATTGTGGTAGTTATTGGACATTTTATACACTCAGTAATATAACAGAAATGGATATTTTTCAAAAAGGTATAAGCACTGTTACTTTGCTTTTATAATAAACAAAACAAACAAAACGGTTGGGGCATTAAAAATTTAATAAGCCAAGATAATAATGAAATCAATCTAACACACTTAAAAGCTGGGCTCCCACATTCTATTCCTAAAATGAAAGTACTGAATATTACAAACCTCTTTCACTTAAGGGCTCAGCTGTTTCAAAGCTGCCTTGTCCACTGTCTGAAGGACTGTCTACTTTTTCTTGTGAAATGAAATCATTGATTTCTAGGTGAACCTAGAAAATGAGAATAAACTTTCCATTAGCCAGGAGGAGAGCTAGAACTTCAAGTACCCACTGATACACAAATCATCATGGAATCCTCAAGATGAAATAGGGAAAGAATTGATACAATGGTTTAATGAAGGGATGACATCTAGGATTACAGCACAAAAAAACAAAATCACTTCAGGATGCCAAATGAATTAACTCTTTATTATAGTTATATATAGTAAGTATATTAATTGTGCAAATTAATGGCATGCATTGTGACATTTCCATATCTATATATACATCATGAAACCAACACATACTTCTACTACTTCACCCCTCCCCCCACTTCCTGGTACCTCTTTCTACTTTCAGGTCCATTTTTTTTTTTAATTTCCATATATGGGAGAAAACATGTGTTTTACTTACTTTGTGTCTGACTTATTTTGCTATAAATAATAACCTTTTTTAAGGTTGAATAATACTCTATTGTGTACATACACCATATTTTCTTAATTCACTCATTGAACATTACACCTAGGCAATGATCATTAATGGCTGCTAACATTACCAAAAGAGAAACAACCAGACATTATGAATAGCCTAATAGAAGTACCCAACACCATCCAGGAGGCATTCTTGGTAGAACAATCAGATCTGAATCTCTAGATCTAAACACCCATTTATACTAAATGGAACAGAGGAACATGTTAAATAACACTACAGAGATGCAACCTAGGTGTAAGAAACTCTACAGGACAAACTGGATGGTCTCTGAAATAATAAATTACAAGGAAAAAAGAGAGGAAAAGAGAACCTATAGAATAAAGGGAGTTAATATACAGGAGATACACAATATAAAGATATGTATGTGTATATATTTAAGTGTAAATATGCAGATTTATTTAAATCCTGATCCAAACAAAAACTGAAAATATATGAGTCAAAGAAATCTGAACACTAATGAGATGTTTACTAGATGTGGTAATAATGTTGTGGTTGTCCTTTTTTGGAAAGCCCTGCCTTTTAGAAATGCACACTGAAGTTATCTGTGGATGAAATAGTATGATGTCTGAAATTGTCTTACAAATATTCCAGCAATAGAAAAAGTGAAGGGGTAGAACTGAAACAAAGATTGACCATTATCTGATAATAGTCAAAGTTAGGTTCAGTACACCAATCTTTTGTGGCTTTTTTGGTACTAGGTAGAGTTTGAACTCAGAGCCTCACCCTTGCTAGATGGGTGCTCTACCACTTGAGAAACTCCATCAGCCCTTTTTTTTTGTGACAGGTATTTTCTACAGGCTGGCTTCAAACAACAATCCTGATCTCTGCCTCCTGAATAGCTGAGATTACATGCGTGCTGGGCTCATAACACCAATTTTTCTACATTTGTACACACTTGAAAATTTCTAATAAAAACGCTTTTAAAAGTCACAAAAGCAAAGATAAATAAAATAAATGAATAATTAATTTTTTTAAAAAGTCACAAAAGCCAGGTGTGGTGGCAAATGCCCAGCACTGCGGTTTGAGGCAGAAAACCTGGGGTATATAACGGGACCCTGTCTCAAAAAGACCCTCCTTTTGTAAATAGTTTTATTGGAACCCAGGACTTTTATTGGATTAAGGCAAGGTGGGACAGGGTGTGCCGGGGTCCGTTTTTGTCTTTATTTAAAAGTCTGCTATTTTGTTCAATATCAAATCCTGGGGGCTGGCAGAGTGGCTCAAAGCCTGAGGCCCTGGATTCAAACCCCAGTGCCGCCAAAAAAAACAAAAACAAAAGTCAAATCATGGGCTTTTTTTTTTTTTTTTGCATAAAATATGATTTGCATTTGATGACTAGGTTTTTGGTGTTCCCCCTTAAATTCTACTCCTGGCCCCAAAGAATAACACAGATCTGGAAACACGTCTTTTGTGCCCAATTCAGGCTGTGTACCGACGGTCAGCCGCCCGGAACTCCGGTGTTCCTTCCCTACTCGGGACGGCGTGGGAAAACGCGCGGGGACCCCCAAGGCCAAGGCCGCTCTCAGGCCCAGTTCCCACCTGCCACACCCTCGCCCCGCACCCCCGCGGCCGGGTGGGCCAGGACCTCCTCTCTTTTGGGACGCTGTAACAGGAGCCTGCGCAGCAGGAAACGCGCCAAAGGGGAAGGCGGGCTGTGGAGACCAGCTGGGCAGCCAGCAGCGCGCGCCGCCGACCCCGGGAGCATCGGGGTCGCGGGGATCCAGCGCGGGAAGCTGGGCGGCGGGATGGACTCCGGGCCGCGGGGCCTCAGAGCGGTGCATGCTGGGAACTGTAGTCCTCCCGACCGGAGCGCCCGCTCTGCCGGGTGCTACCTCTACCTCACCCCACCCCACCCCATCCTACCCTACCCTGGGCGTGCAGCCTCCGCAGCCCCTGCGAGTGCCCACACTCACCTCCGAGCCCACCTCGCTCGACATGATTCCGGCCTCTTCAGCGCTCGGCTCCAGACGAAGCCGTTTTCAGTTTCCTCAACCTGCGAATGAGCTGTTCTCTGGGACTCTGGCCGGGCAGTGCAGTTCGAGCTTTCGCGCCCAGCCGCAGTGGAGGCTCCACCCTCGATGATTTGCACCAATCCGGAGGTTGAGTCACCGTGGACACTCCGCCCCCATTCGTCTCTCCAATCACGAAGCGCCTTCGGCCGGCCCTGCAAATATAATCTGGGCAGGTTTGGCGGGTGGTCGTCGCTCTTGTCAACCAACCCCTTGTCGTGGCTAGTGGTTCCTCGTTGCGGGATGGCCTGGCGCTCTGGCCCAGCAAGGCAGAATTTTGTGAGTGGTGTTTTTTGACATTTGATCCCTCTTGTAGCTTGACAGTTCTCACCAAGCGCAATTTGAGGAGTGAGCAGCCAGGCAGGAAGTGAACTGAGGATAGGTCCCCAGGAACCCGGGGTGTCCTGTACCCGAATCGTTTCCGAGGGAGTCGGAACCCCGTGGGGATTTTCTCCACTAACTCCACCACCCCTGAAGCAGTTAGATCCTGTCTTCCTCTTCTTGTACATGACACACAATATTGAACATAAACATCAGTTTTGCAAGCGCTCAAATGCCAAAAAAAATCCTTGGGTAATTTTTATAAAAGTTTATTTAGAGTTAATTCGAGGATGCAGAAAGCACCTATCTCCCCCCAGAAGTCTTTCTACCTTTGGAAAGGCTGGAAAAAGAAGAAAAGCTCTGAGGTCAGACTCACCCTAGACCACTCTAATTCCAGTTTTGCCACTATGTGAGTTACGATCTTTTTGCCTCTCTGAGTCGATTCTCTGTCCTTTCTTTGCCTTGGTCTGTGTCCAGACAAGGCTGTCCTCTCTGGATTGTGTTACCCAGTTTCCTTGCCCTCTGGCTTCTGTTGAGTCAGGCCACTAAAAGGAAGGAAGGAGAGGGGAAAAGGTCAGCGTATTTACTGCTCAACTTCACCTCTATGGTCATATCCACTGTAGGGTGACCAACTGGGCCCAGATTGCACAGGACTTTCCCAGTTTTAGCACAGAAAGTCTCACATCTCAGGAACCTTCTCAGAGCTATACGATGATGGTCGGTTGCCCTATCCTCTGGACTCTTCAAATTTCTAGCCTAGCTGGGTTCAGATAAAAAGCTACTCTTTTCATCTTCATTTCTTACCACCCTCTTTACCACCTCTCAATCCACTTCTGCCCCCACCAAGATCCCATCATCTGGGAATCTGCAGCTGGCTTTATAACTTAGTAGTAAAGCACTTGTTTAGCATGAATGAGGCCCTGGATTCAATTCCAAGGATCTCAAAAACAACAACAAAAATTCCATCCCTATGTCTGAATCTACCCCCTCTTCATCCACTTTACTATCATTTCTGCACTGGTGATTCCCAAATATACATCTATAGCAGAAGGGCCAACATTTATTGGGCATTTATTTGGTAACAAAGAGTTGCCAGAATTTTATAATCATCAATCTTCAGAGTAAGGTAAATAACATGATTCTCTACATTTTAGTAGATGAGGAAAATGGACTTTTAAATTTTGTATTTTGTTTTTTGGGGTGGCACTGGGGTTTGAGCTCAGGGCCTCACACTTGCTAGGCAGGTGCTCTACCACTTGAGCTACTCTGCCAGCCCAATATGTGACTCACAGGTCACGTCCTCCACCATTTCTGATTCAGTGTGTCTGAAGTGGGGGGCAAGGGTGTGTATTTCCATCAAGTGCACAAGTAATGCAAGCACTGCTCATCTAGAGACCACCTTTGAGAACCAAGGGCATGGAGCAACCCTGCATGGTAAGGAAACTGATAAATATTTGTTCAATTAATTAATCTAGTTGACAATTATATTCTTCTTCTTAAGTTCCTTTTGAAAGTAAATAAATGAAATAATTTCCTTGTGTTGGTATTTTCAGATCTCTGGGGAGCAGTTCTTCACTCACTCATTAGAGAAGCTGAGAGAGAAAGCTTCAATTTGGGCAATGGGTGGATGAGGTGGTGAGCTAGAAAAAGGAACCTGTAATTCATTTTTTTATTGTGGTAGAATATGTATAACATAAAATTTACCATTTAAATAATTTTATATAATTAATTGATTTCAATGCTGGGGATTGAAAACCCAAGACTTGGTATGGGCATAGCACATCTCTACCATGAAGGTACACCCCCAGCCTTAACCATTTTAAAGTATGGTTCAGTGGTGTTGAGTACATTCACATTGTTGTGCAACCAGTCTCCAAATCTCATCTTGCAAAACTGAAACCCTGTACCCAGTAAACAATAATTCATTTCTACTATTCCCAGGAAATCTTTTATTCTATACAGAAACTTGTGCTGAACTGAGGTGGGTCAATATTTGGAATTAGCAATTCCAAATTCAGTTTTGGTGAATGGCACATAATCCATCACTTACCAACCAAGAAACCTAGGAGTCACCCTTGAATCTTCTGTCCCTTGCCCCTCAAGTTTAGGCATCCAACAAGCCAAGTTTATGAAGTTGAGAGATGGCAATGAAGGAAACATTTAAAGTGTTTACTTTATAGGTATTAGCCCTAACCCATTCTATAGAGGCTTTGTGAGTTTAGGTAGTCATTTATTTTCTCAGAGCCTTGTTTTCCTTATTTGTAACTGGAAAACATTGACTCAGATCACTATTCTCAAATAGGTTTGGGCTGGGGGTATAGCTCAGTGGTAGAGCACTTGCCTAGCCTGCTTGAGGGCATAGGTTCAATCCCCAACACTTGAAAAAAACAAAAACAAAGACTTCAATGGATTTTATTGGCAAAGTACCTGGAAGTATGTAGTACTGCACATGAAATACTTTGTAGTAAATGACACTCTTAATCTGATCACACAAATTAGGAAACATTTTCACTAGTATGATATATCATTATGTCATAAAGTCAGTACTTAAAAATCAATTCTAAGAGTACATGTGCACGAAAAAATAAGTCATGGAACTTAGCTTGCTGAGCCCTTTCTCAAGTGTTCTATTTATATTTGTTCCTTGGCAGACAAACAAAAGTACATAGTAGAGCTTAAGAAAGTTTGAAGCTAAATTACATCTTTAACTTGTTCGGTTTTTGTTTTTACAGACTGGAAACTGAACCGAGGGCCTCAGACATGCTAGGCAAGTGCTGTACCACTAAGATATACCTCCAGCCCTTATCTTTTCTTCTTCTTCTGAAAATTTAGAAAAACCTACCACGTTACATTTCTACTACAGGTGTTACTATTCCTCTGAAGGTAAGTTTACAAACTAGTTTTCTGAAGTCCTCAGCCTCTAAATCCTCCTCCTTGGAGAAGTGCTGCCACCATATGGCATATCTTGGTCATGTCAGTCCATCTATTGTCTGTAGCCACTCTCAACACTTTTGGGTGTGTGTTGTATTAGGGGGGTTCTTCAAGCATCTTATTTCAAAGCTAATTTCATATTTTAATTCCAAACAGTTTTAAAGCTCTTGGAGTATCCTGCTGGGAAGCCAGAACAGTTTTTCTTGCTTAATGTAATACCTCCTGATCGCTAAACAATGGCACAGGACCTGACACATAGTGGGTGCTTAATAACTAACTGTTGAATGAATGATCCAAATATCACGGTCTCATTTAAGCCAAAAATATATTGTGACCTAATAAAAAAAGTATCCCAAGGCACACGAACCATCAGCTATTTTGTGTGCAGAAGCTTCTTTACCACAACTTTGGGCAGAAAGTTGCAGCTCCATGAGAAAGAGGGAAGGGACTATGACTGGGGGAAGTGAGAGGAAAGTGACTCACAAATTGAATTTCAAAGATGAATTGGAGTTCTTCAGGCTGGCACAGGGAGGAGAAAGCATTCCAGGTATGTGCAGGGGCTTGATAAAGCATGTTGTGTTTGGGTAACTGAAAGTAGGTCAGTGTAACACACGGTATGTGTGTGTTTATGGGTTGGGGGAGGGACCAGAAAGAAATCTGGAAGTTACACAAAGACCAAAGGCTTGGAATGTTATGATCAGAGTTTAGACAAAATGAGCTGGGGAGAGGGAGTGGGCATTTTCAAGGAGAGTGAGATGGATCAGATATATGCTTGAGAAAGATTAGTCTAGCAGCATATGAAGGATGGATTGAAAGGGGATTAGACTGGAGGCAGAAAGAACAGTTGTCTAAGTGAGAGATTATGGGAACCTAAACTAGGTCAATGGTAGTAACAACAAAGTGGAGAGGATGGATTGGGGAAAAGAGGCAAAACTGGCAGGGCTCATTGGATGATTAACCTTGAGGGGTGAGAGGCTGTGGAGTCAATGCTACCCCAGTGATGCCCACATTTCCAGACAAGTGATTGTGAATGGATTGTGATGCCATCTGCCAGGACTGAGAATGCTGGTCACTAATTAAAAATTGAGACTCGCCAAGTGCCAATGGCTCATACCTGTAATCCTAGCTACTCAGGAGGCAGAGAGCAGGTGGATCACAATTCAAAGCCAGCCTAAGCAAATAGTTTGAGAGACCCGATCTTGGAAAAACCCAACACAAAAAAGGGCTGGTAGAGTGGCTGAAGGTATAGGCCCTGAGTTCAAACCCCAGTCCAGCAAATAAATAAATAAGATTTTAAAAATAAAAATTCAGACTCACTTTAGCTTGGCACAAATTAGCATGTAGAATGAAAGATTTTCCCTTCCTAGCTCACTCCTATCCAACCATTGTCCAAATTGAAGCTCTTTCCCTTAGCTTCTCTGGTGACTAAAAAATTACTCCCCAGACCTAGCCCAACTCTCCATTCCATTTCCAAACTGTTTTCCTCCCAAGTACCCAAAATCTTAACTCAGCAGCTTTATGTATTCCATTCACATGTTTTTCTCTTCACTTCCCCCCTTTTCTTCCTGGTTATTTACCCAGGAAATGTGTATAATAGAAATTCCTCTGCCTTGCTATCTTCAATTATTTCCTCAGGCTTTTTATATCAGTTTTTGTAAAAAAGAAAAAAAAATCCA